CCCCAAAACCCCAAAACCCCAAAACCCCAAAACCCCAAGATTTTGATTAAATATTGAGTCGTTAATTGTTACTTTTGCAAGTATCAGCTTATTTTTAAATAACTTAAGACCACATAACATCATAAAAACTAACATTCTCTGCTGTTAACTCTCAGATTCTCAGCACAAATCAAACAAGCTCTCATCTTCCTCAAAATGCCCACTAATTTCTACATGTCCTAACCCATTCTGCCTCAATATCCTCTTCACAAACCCTCTCTCCACCTCCCAGAACCCTCCAAAATCCACTTCCTCCAGCTTTAGCCTCAAGTCCGAGTTCGCCAAGCCCATGATCAACCTATTCAACTCTTGTGGTCTCCTAGCCCAATTGTTGTAGAGATGGCCTGCACAATCAGTGAAGGATATCTTTCAGAGAGAGGTATCTTTAAGACATTTTGAGAAATCTGGTATAGTTGGGAAAGAGAACTTTCATTGCATGAAGGTTATACTTTGATGGATTTTATTTAGAGCAAGTATCTGCTTCATTTGAGATTCATTGATATTAAATTTCCTCAACAAAATTCTCACTCTTCCAAACCTCCTTTCTCTAGCTACCAATCTCGCTCAAACCACTCAATCAGTACAAAATTTGCCATTAAACTCCACGATATCCACTTTCCCCATAAATCTCTTCAAAACCTTCCAATAGGTCCTTTCCTCCACCCAATCTGGCAGCTTCCCTAAACCCATCAGCCATTCACACTCACCTATAACCTCACAGCTGTAGGCCCACTCGGGACAACGTGGGTTAACATTTTCATAACTTTTGGCCAAGTCTGGATGTTCATCCTGAACTTGAATAGATTGGGGAGAGTAGGACTTGTGCTGGAGTAGTAGTAAGAGCCAGAGAGTTTAGTTGGGATAACTGCATATCAAGCATTTACTAATATTTTCTGTTCCTTCTTGAACAACTCGAGCTCCTTAAGCCTTCTGATTCCCAAAGCTGCAACTTGATTTAGCTTGATAAGACCTAGATTACAGCGAAGTGAGGGGATATTATTCATACTGCAAGATAATTTGCACTCTTCGTTTTGGGAATATGAAACAAGCATTTCTGAATATTTGTCCAAAATTCTATCTGCAGCATAGAAAATTTCATCAATTCTCCTAATTAAATCCTGCTCATTCTCCTCCATACACTCAAAATACACCCTTTTTGCCCTCTCCCTCACTCCTTTCAAAACTTCCTTAATCTGCCTTATCCTTGCTCAAAATCCCCTTTTCCCTCTCTCCTCATACTTCTTCAGCACATTCCCTTGTCTCATCACCATTTCTTCAATTCTTCACACTCTTCTCCTATCCAATACACTATCCCTCACTTTCGACTCACCCAAATCATCTATTGGCACTGTATCTGGCTGCTTCATACTTATATAAGTCATCTTGGCTGGTCTCCGTTCCATATTTTAGCTTTAAAATATTTTCAGTAGTGGGAGAGTTATTAGGGGTTTTGGGGTTTTGGGGTTTTGGGGTTTTGGGG